TGCACCAGGGTAGGGTTAGGGTTAGAAAAACGAGGTGTCCTGGTGCAATTTTCATGGTTGGAATGTGTTTAGAATGGGCAGAAATTATGACCAGTGTAGAAAAAGCTACTCTAGGAAGGCTTTTTTAGAATCGGCCTCTTTTCAATTCTCTTTTAGTCCTGTATTTGGGTGACGGGTGTCTCAAACAACGACTCATTAACCGTGATGTGTCCGAATTTCCACATGGCCAGTCAGTGTGCTGACAAGGATATATATGCAGTGGTACCTTCGCTCACGAACGCCTGAGTTCACAACCAGATCATATCGCAAACAGAAATTTCACAAAAAATTTGCCGCGGGTCATGAACTCCTTACTGGGTGGCGATTGTTCCCGCCTTTCCCGCATAAGTGCCCCTGCTATCGCGCCCACCTCCCCCCAAGTGTTCCCACAATCGCGCCCTTTTTTTCTGTGATTAAATATTAACAGAATGGATTAATTTTATTTACATTGAACCTTATGGGAATATTAGACTTGGCTTACGACTATTTTGGGTCACAACCAGAGTCCTGGAATGGATTAAGTTCGTGGGCCAAGGCACCACTGCATATTTTCTTGGACTGGCTGTGAGGTTTTTTTTCTAAACTAAAACCTCAGTTTTCAGGTTTTATTGCAGTGTTGGCACTTTTCAATAAATAAGTGGGTTTTGGGTTGCAGTTTGGGCACTTGGTCTCTAAACAGTTCAGCATCACTGTACTACGGAGTTCAGATAGGAATAGCGCTGCAGTGGTAAAAGCAAACCAAGCCACTGGTTCTCAGGAGCAGACCTGCATGAAGCCAGAGGCAAATGGGTAGCCACGTGCCCAAGACAGCTGCTAAACAACCTGGCCCCGCCCACCCATCCTCCAAGCCATGCAGACAGCACTGACCTGGGCCACTCATCAGGCCGGGGTCCATCTCCAAGCCCTCCGGGTGTGGGTAGAAGCTGTCGTAGAAGTCCGGTGCTGGTGGGCCAGGAGGCATCTCCTCAGGGCCAAACGGCATCATTGGGGGCCCCGGGCCCATAGGGGGGCCAGGATTCATTCCTGGACCCATTGGCATATCGGGGCACATATCTGGACACATATCAGGAAGCATATCTGGGGGCATGTCAGGAGGCATGTCAGGATGCCCAGGCCCTGGGAAGCGGGGTGGAGATGGACCTGGATGCCTGGAGGGGAAACAGAGGTGAGTGTCAGGGAGAGCAGCCAAGACAAGGCCCAGCTGGCATCTCAGAGCTGTTCTGTTTGCCCGGTGGGGTAAGCCAGGTAGGAGCTTTCCTGGACCCTTGCTGGGCACACTGCTTCTGGAGTCTCCAGCTGGCAAGAGAAGGGGGGCAGCTCACCTACATCCAGTGTCCAGCCCTGAGGCACCCTGGCTGCCCCCAGCAAGAGTATGAGGCCACCCCACCCAGGTGCATTGCTGGACCCCCACAGATGCCTCTTCCCCACTGGTCTCCCTCCCCAAGTCCACTCCACTGTTATCGCCTCTTTCCTGCGGGACGTGGCACATACCTCACTCCCAGCTTCTCAGCCAGCTGTCCAGTGGGCCTCACCACAATCTCAAAGAGCGAGGGGATCTTCTTGTACATGTCCTGCTGCTGAGGTGACAGGGGTTCATGGAGTGGAGGGGGCATCTGTGGTGGCCCGGGGGGTGGCAGGGGGGTGGGTGGGGGAGGCGCAGGTGGGCCTCCGGGCATCGGCCGGCCATTGGGAGATGTGGGAGCAGGTGGCCCTGGTGGCCTTGGGGGCGTGGGGAGCAACCCCACCCCCGGAGGCGGCTTCGGCAAGGGGTTGATCCCCTGCTTCTTCAGCTCCTCCACCTCCTTCTCATCTTCTGCTCCTGCTTCAGCATCATCCGCCAACATCTAAGCACAAGCAGAACAAACCCACACAAAACGGAGGGATGCAGCTCATACACGGGTTGAGCCTCCTCCCAGCCCTCAGCCCTCCCTGCCTGCTGCTGGTTAAGCTCAACCTCTGCCAAAGGCCCATTCCTTGGTACTAGCGGCAATTCATGCCCTTTTACCTTATCCAGAAGCTCCCGTGTCTCATCTGTGAGGGGGTCGTGGGAGAACATGCAATCATCGCCATTGATGCAATTCCCAGTGGTATGAAACAGCTTGCAAGGGAAGTCTCGTGCGAGGCATTAAGGAAGGCAAATCACTCCAGGAGTCCACGGGGCAGAAGGAACAAAGACGACCAGTCCATACAGCTCATTTTTCCTACTCCCCCACCTACATACGGAGGCCTCCACACTTGGGAGTGATGTCTTTGCAGCACACACGTGCCCAGCAAAAACACCTTGGATGGAAACTGGCAAGGAGTCTGCAGCCAGCTGGTTTCTGAAGTGATGAAAGGCAGGCCGGGGACAAAGAGTGCTTACCCACATCTTCCCTGCCATGAGCTCTCACCCAAAACTGCTGGACTCAAGAAAGAGCCAAGCCTTGTGCAGACAGAACTGGAAAGGATATCATGCATGTAGGGGCAGTTCTCAGCTCTGGCACAGTAACCAGTGATGTAGAACTTGCACAGCTCCCGCTTCTTTGGTAGCTCAATGTCATGGCTGAAGTTGCAGTGTTCCCCCTATCAGGAGCAAAGCAGAAGGGCCCATTTAAGTCCCAAACAGGAATACTGTCCTAGGAGTCTCAGGTGACCACAGGCTGACACCTGCATAAAGAGAGTGTTCAGCTGTTGTGGCCATCACACTGTTTACCAACAACAAAAGAAAGCCAGTACTAGTTACATACCCAGGTGCATCTTCCCTCTACAAAGTATTTGCAGATTACTTTCCCTTTCTTATCCGATTGCTGGTGAGATTTATCGTGGTCATTTCGCCTGTAATTCCCACTGCTGCCACCTCCATCCTACAGAAATTACAATGTGCTTTACTTATTTGCATTATTCATCTATAACGGATTTTTATGCAAGTCAAAGTTGGAGTACGGCAACTGGAATGGCCCTGTCACGAGTCACCACCTGCCTCAGCTGAGAGGAGGGGAACCCACTGGAAGGCCTCTGAGGCAGATCTTAGTGGATGGGCAGGCTCATGTGGGAGGAGTCTGTCCTTGAGGCCCCCTGGACTCCAGCCAGGAAGGGCTTAAAAGACTGAGGCCAGTACCTGGAATTGGGCCCAAACTGGAAGCCAATTTAGTTTTGTTATGATAGATGAAATATGATCCATGTGCTGGGCCCTGGGCAGTAGATGTATTTTGAAGCTTCTGAATCACAGGCAGCCTCTAGCGTAAAATATGCAGTAATCCAAATAAGATACTGCCAGAGTGTTTATAATAGCAACCAGGAGCACACTTTGCCCAGTAGCTTTAGGAGGCGAAAGGCGTTCCATGGGCCCCTAAAACTAGGACTAGCTCTGTTACCACTCTTGGAATATAAACCTGGTCCTGAAAAGGTAGCTCTGTCCCCACCCTCAAGAGGCCAGCACCATATTTGGTGTGAGATACCTGGGGTTGCTTATAAGCCATCCTGGGTGTAAAGTGTCATCTGAATCCTGCTATCTTCTTGGGGGAGACTAAGCCCTCATTACATCTCAAGCAGATTGAGAACTGAAAGAAGCACTTGCCCCACAGTGCCCAAGTGAAACTGACAGAACAGCCAGGAAGGCTGAAGGCACCTGAACAAGGGGACCTGTCACTCACCCCCAAGTCCTCATCATAGTAGTCATCCTCTTCATTCATTGCACTGCTTTTGCCCATATTGCCTCTTCCTCGGTGACCTCTTCCTCGGCCCATGCCCTTGTTTCCTCGCCCTCTAGAGCCACGACCCCGGCCACGTCCCATGCCTGAAACAGACCGTTTCTTTACGTGAAAAACCATGGTGCACCATCCACTGAATTCAACACAGGCCACCATGTTCCTGAGCTCAACTCCAGTGACACAAGCAAGAGTTGAGTCCACAGATGGGGCAGGCCAGCCTCCAAAACAACTGATACCTGGAAGGCTTTGGATCCACTGACAGTGCCCAGGCCTCAGCTCACATACCTCTGCCCCTTCCCTCCTTGCTCCTGCGGTACTGGCTCAGCTCTTTGGAATAGTCATCATATTCCTCCTCACCCACAGGCTCTTCTCCTTCACAGTACTGTTATTCAGAAAGGGAAGAAATTAGCCTGGTGGGACCACAGCAGGAAGCTGGGCAAAGCACAAGGCTCCCACTTCTGTGCTCACCTCCATTTCCTCTTCATACATCTCCTCCTCCTCCTCCTCCGGGTGCTCTCCCCTTCCCCTACCACGGCTGCCTCGACCCATTCCTCTTCCTCTCATCCCTCCTCTTCCACGACCACGGTAGCCTCGTCCTCGGCCACGACCTCCTTTGGCACAAATCAGATAAGGTGCAAAACAAAGATCACACAATATACACAAACACGAATCTCTACACATCAGAAATGTCACAGAAGTATTCTGTGTCTTGAAAGACTTGCCAGGAAAACTTCCAGGGAACAGCAACAGTGCACGGTCAGATCTTTACCAGTCTGGCTTCCATGCACTGGTGGACACAAGCCAAGGTGTGTGTGCACACGTGCGCCTATGCATGACTTTGGGGACCAGGCTTTCAAAGGAAACGGAAACAAAAGCAGCATTGCTACACCTATGGACCTCAGCTGAAATGCTGGCCATCTAACAGGCTAATGCCTCTTGGGCACCAAAGCCAGTCTGCATCTGGATGAGCCAAAGCCATCATGGACTCTCTTGGAGGCAGCCTAAGAAGAAGCCAACAGGCAGGAGCCAGACAATTCCTCATGCAAGATGAAAAGAAATTGGAAGACAGTTTGATTCCAGCCCAGCTTTGCAGTCTGCACTGTTTTCTAAGCTTCACCCCGGCACTTGTGCTCATTCTGAAAGTCAATGATGCAATTTAAAAAGGCAAGTCGAATTCTTTTGGATGGTGCACGACTGCTTTCAGGAAGTGAGTTAACTTTAGTCTAAGGCTAATGTACCAGAGTACAAACACGCCACAGACGCTACTTCAACCTCCCTGCCAGATAACCGCCAGGCAGCATCTCGTGTGCCCTGCAAAACTCAGGGTGCGAATTAGGGAAGATGGCCATACCTCGCCCCCTGTGCGTCCCCTCCTTTGCCCTGCGGTATTGGTTCAGCTCCTTGGTGAAGTCGTCATACTCTTCTTTCCCCATGTCTTCATCATCCTCTCCCTCATAGTCACAATAGCCTTCGTTCTCATATTCCTCATACATGGGGTAGTTCTTGCTTTCCATTTTGGAATATCCTTTCTTTGGTGCACCGTGAGATGATGAGTACTGCTGGTGGGACTGGGGGCAAACACACACATGGTCACATAGAAGAAATGCTCGATGATGCATAAGCCTCCCAAGTATAAAGTGGCCCCAAACACACTTTATAAACCAACACTCTCTCCCTAACCATTATTTCCATGCAATTGTCAAGCCTGGGTGCAATCAAGTCCGGGTGCAAAAAGGTCCCTTTTTTGCTCCCAGAGACACAAACAGCACATTAAACGCAGGCTCCTGTTGTGTAAAGACCTTTGGGGAGGGAGGGCTTCCATACCCAGAATCACAATGCCAGCCCAGATTTCATGGATGCATCCAAATGTACCTCTGGCATCTGGTACTTACAGACGAGTAGATAGGACTGTATTCCCTGTACTTCCGGTGCCCCTTTTCACTTGGGCTGAAATCTGACTCCTCACTGTAGTCTGAAAAATCGTCACTTGAGGAGGCATGGCGCTGCAAGGAAGGGTGAGGCTGTTACAGACCATCATCCCCCCACCCCATTATTTGCCCTTCTCTGGCTAATGGGTGGAAGAGAGCCCCAGCACCTCATGAGTAACTCCCAAATCTCAGGACCTCAGCAAGGATGGGAGGCTGCTTTCAAAACCACACAGGCCACAAATGCTACTAGAAATGGGGACTCCATGGTCCTACAAGTCAGACGATTTGGTTTTTCTACATAAAAGTCCAACAAGCCCTTTTGGCTCATCATATCATCTGTTCATTTTCTCCAGGGGCAAATATGAACTATTAACCACTTTTAATCAGGAAATAGCTCTTCTACTCTCAAAAACCTTCTTTTCTGACTCTGCTGTTTTTTTTAGTTCAGCAATTCAAACTTACTTATGTCCCTCTGCTGCTCCTGGAGCCTTTGGGGGCATGTAAAATACTCTCCTATGCTGTGACTTCTATGAGCAAGGGAGACACTGCAATATTTAAGATCCTTGCTAAGAGGCTCAACAGGGAGGCAGCCTGTTCTTGGCCTTCCCTGTGTCCTCTCAGTCTCTGTCTTGAGAGGTGGGCAGGCAGGCAGGAAGAGGATGAAGGGAACTCGGTATTCCAGATGCTCACTTCCCCCACTCACCTTATGCTTGGATTTCCTTTTCTTCTTTGATCTCCGCTTCTCTTTCTCTCGCTCTTTCCGACGTTTCCTTTTCCTCCGGTGAGCCTTCTCGTCATCTGAGTCGGTGTGATGCTTTTCATTTTTTTCCTTCCGACTCTTCTCATGTGACTCAGAAGCTTCATGGGGCTCCTCACCTCCATCATCTTCCAGCTCCCCTTCTTCTAGTTCCCCATCCTCCCTGAAATGACACACAGCCAGATTCACTCAGCAGAAGGAATAAGGCAGACAACCCAGGTACAAACACTTTTGTGGGAGGAAATACTGTGCGAAAGCAAAATGCACTGCCTTCTTCAGAAAGTGGTAAGAACAGAGACAAAGCCCTCCTTTTAGTCCAGTCTTCCTCAAATTGAAGTTTTCACATGTATTTGAATTACAGCCCATGACTGTAGCTGGTCAAGGATGATGGAAGCTCAAAGTCAGCCCAACCCAACAAACATTTCCTCTCTTTGCCTTCTAAGTAAAACAAGATGGAGAGCTACCCAGTACTTCCATTTCCAATCCAAAGCCAAAAAAGCGTTTACTGCAGAAGTGGCACATTCTCTTTATTGCAGATGATTCAGTATGTTCACTATCTCCAACTTACAGATGCTGGGGAAGAGGGAAGCCAGGGAAGCCGCCAAGGCCTGGCAATGAGCACATGGGCAGGGGGTTCTGCCTGCAGTCACTGTGACTCTGCTGCAGTAGCTCAGTCTCTTTCTGCGTGGGACAAATGCAGTGGAAGTGTTTGGCGGTTTTTTAGTTAATCTACAATCCTTTGAACACTTGCTCACACAGGCACCTGCTTAAGCTGTTTGCCAGGAAAACAAGCGGGAGTGTCTTCCATTCAGGTGCGGTGAAGTGTCTCTCACAGTGCACAAGGCCCCTTTGCTACTCTCAGCTGCCTCCTGTGTTTCCACAGACAACCAGAACTAGGGAAAGGCCTCAGTGGGAAAGGCTGGGGCATGCCTCCGAGTCCACTACTCTGCTTGCTACTGTTATGCCAAGATGAAAGACTTACCAGGGGCATGAGAGAAAGAAACAGCTGGTATTTCTTCTGAAAGTGGCAATACTAAGCTGACCCTCTCTGTCACTTGTGGGTTTGTTGATTAAACCAATTGTTTAAAAGCAGCCTACAAACCTATGAAACAATCAATACATACTTAGGGAAAATAAATCTGCTTCATTTTAAATGTATCCTCAAAAAATGGCTCAAGCGCTCACAGCAGCTTTCCAATAGGACATCTCTCAATGGCAGCAGTGCAATGGCACACTCAAGGAAAGGGCCACAAAACGCTTCTTGCAGTATAGTCCTACTCACATGTAAATCCCACCAAATGTATTTGCTGGTAAGTGTGCATAGCACTGCAGCCTTAAGCACCCACAACGGACTGGTAACTTTAGCCGTAATTCTTATAGGAATCTCCCTGCTACTCTCTCTTGGAAGGCAAGCTTGGCAGCCTTTTGGATGAAAAGCAACAATCTAACCCCCCTCCCCTCCAAGATACAATCAGTGGGTAGGATTCAATTTTAGTCATCCTTAGACCAAATTCATTGAAATCCATGGAACATTAGGTATGACTATTTAAGTCCCATGGATTTCAATGGGACTGTGTGAAACATATTTAAGTCTGAATTCAACCCAGTGTCTGCACAACTGCAGAGATCTAAACGGCCAGCAACAAGTGATTCCTGTTTACAAACTATAGCAAAGCCACGTATTCCTGTGCTTTGAGTCAAATGGCAAAACAGTAAAAAAGGAACTGCATTCCAAGGTACCAAAACTGCAGCAGAAGATACAAGGATGACAACAGGCCTGATCCGGACAGGGTGTTTTTAGCTGAGCTGACCCTGTGCACAAGAAGAGACTACAATTTCCTCAACATGAGTTGGAAGGCAAATTCTGCCAAACACACCAAACGTTGCCAAACATGTACCCTGGATTTTAGGAAAGCCAATTTTAATCAACTCACAACAATGATAAGTAAAGCCCCATGGCAAGTGACTAATGAGAAAAGGAGTCCAAGATGGATGGAGATTTTTAAAAAAGGAAATTCTAAAGGCACAATTGCAAACTATTCCAACAAGGTAGAAGACAATAGAAGAAGTCCATGTGGCTTCATAAAAAGCTTAGAGAGGATCTGAAAATAAAAAGGGAATGTATAGGAAGTGAAAGGAAGGCCAGGCTACAACAGAAGAATACATGAAGGTAGCACAGAATTGCAGGGATAACATCTGGAAGGCTACAGCTAGAAATGAACTAAGGCTAATACGGGATGCTAAAAGCAACAGAACAGCCTTCTTCAGATATGTCCAAAGTAGAAGACAGAGGAAAGAAATGGGGGTTCAGCTACTCAATGTGGATAGCAAAATGATAACAGATGGCAAAGGCAGAAGTACTCAATTACTGCACTGACTCAGTCTTCTCCCAAAAGATCTATGACCTTCCTGATTTTTATTTAAAGAGTTATAGCCTGCCTTTTTTCTTTAAAACCAACCAACCAACCAACTCAAAGCAGCTTACATCATTTTCCTCCTCCTGCTCTCAGTCCTATGCCCACAACAGCAATCCTGAGGTAGGTTGGGCTGAGAGTCTTTGACTGGCCCAAAGTCACCAAGTGGGCGCCCTGACTGAGCAGGGACTCGAACCCAGATCACCTAACTCCCAGTCCCATTCTCTTAACAACTACACCACACTGGCTCTCTTCAACAACTACTAAAAGAAAACAGACATGATGAAACGGAAGTACAAGCTGAAGAAGTAGGATGGCAACTCAAGATTGATAGGCAAATGGTCAAAGATCCTCTAACTGGCTTGAATGAATGAGTACAATTCTCCAGAAATCTTCCAGTTCAAAACGTTTGGGAAACTCACATCAGTGCAACAGTGCCAAAAATTCTGAGGTAGACAGACATGAGGATTTCTATGTTACTTTGTGCATACCTGCCTATGCAAGTCTGATGCGGAAATCATAGGAACACCCTATACCACAATTACTAGTTTGGAGGTCTCACTGGTTTGGCCTGACCACCTCCACACCCATACCAGACATTTTGTTTTAAAAACGGAATAGTATCAGGCAGCTACTAAATTTCACATTGAGGTATTTTACGTAAGGAACCAGCCTCCTCTTCCTATCCTATGGCAGGCAATGGTTGTTGAGGATTGCATGCTTACAGGGTGAGAATGGGAAGCCTCAGCAGTTTGGCTTTTCAATCTTGCTTCCTCTGTCACAAGCCTACATCCTCTCTGGCACACCACAACTTACTTGCAAGCAGCCAGTGGACTTACCTGGGCAGGGCAACAGGCAGCATCTGCTCTCTTGCTATTACTGACAGAAGAGTTTTTGTGAGCTTGGGGCAAGAAGCAAAGCATAGGCTCCAATAAGATCTAGCTGCTCCTCAAATAAATTGATGTCTAATGTCTCATTACTACAGAATCTTCTCTCCTCTCACATTTTTAAAGATTTGGTGCTACACTGCAATCTTCCCCATGCTGTCCCCCAACAGAAGAGCTGTGTCATGGGAGAAGCCACTGACTTTCTCCCATACAGCATGGAAGCTCACTGCTGGGGCCCTGCAAAGGAAAGTTAGTTCCTTTGCTGTCTTACACAGGCACCTCCCAAGACACATGTTGCCTCGGATGTGACGTGCCACCACCATCTCCAGCGGCTGGTTCCCACATCATACAGGAAAAGGCTAAAGCAGGTAGCAATCTCCATAACTATTTGCAACACGTGTACAAATGGAAAACTGTGCAATCTTAATTTCTAGCACCTAAACAGAATCTGGTAACACAATTTAATAATTTTGTTCAGCTCCTGAAACAATCCAAAAAGAACATCCAGCACTTCCTATCCCTACAAATGAATGCTTTGGGAAAGGGAATTTGAGCAGCATTAAGGCCTCTGAAGGGCAGAGAAGAGGAAGCTGTGTCCCACAGCCACTGGATCTTGTCTTTGCCACCCCCCGCTAGCAGCACCACACATCTCCACCCGGCATAAAGGCACACACGCTGCCTTCACAAGCATTTAGTAATGTAAAAATGTCCCACAGAATGCTGCTTCAACAGTCCTGGAGGCATCCGGCGCGCTCCGGCACTCCAAGGGTAGTCCTACTGTGCTCACTGGGGCTTACTCCTTGGCAAGTGTGTTTAGAACTGCAACCTTATTATGCTGGCATTTGACACAGTCAAAACAAAAACATGAGGGTGATCTATAGCTCGGTGACTTGAGGTTGTGTGACAAGTTCTTAATCAGCAACTCTGAGTAAAATTAGTATTACTGGAAGTTAGAGGGGTCTGTCAACTTCATTGTAGAGCTTGTCATACGTGTTCACTCTGGCTACAGAGCAAAGCTGCGTGGTTGCCAGGTGGCTATGGGGCTTTCAGAGGGTAATGCTGATACTGGGGGGAATCACTAGCCTTGTGGCTGTCCCACCAAAGTACCCAGGCTCCTTGATAATTCTGCAGAATGCTGAGCTTCACTCAGCATAAGATCTCACAGTCACCCACTGTGACCTCACAGATCACATGCCTGGACCCTGTCACAGCAGAAGCATAAGAGACTGGAACTCTCCAAGACCTGGAGCAGAGGACCTCCCTCCTTGGAAGCCAAGTCATGGATGCAAACAGCAAGGAACAACTGCCATAACATATATTTACCACCAATAGTGCAAGTGGCAAAAGACAGTCAGTGCAAGCCACGAAGATTGCGCAGGGAAGCATTAAGTGATGGGAGAGATTAGTACAAGAAGATCCTGTGATGGACATACAGGGAAAGAGAGGTGGCTCAACAGATACAGAGTGCAAGGAGCTCCTCCTTGAGCCATGGGGAAATGCAAAGAGCAAGAATGAAAGCATGGCACCGCACAAGGGAGCAACCACTGAGCCTGAAGGGAAAATGAGGTGGAATCTAATGGAAAGACATACAGCTTTAAGATTACGCTGAATGCAAATGCATTGCACAGGCTGAAAAAAGGGACAACATAATTATGACAATGGGGAAGAAGGATAATTTTAGTAAAATATTTGGAAGTGATGGAGGAAGGACACAACTACAGGAGAAAAGGTCATTGAGGAAGCGGTGAATATTTATGATTTCACTTGTCTCAATGAATGTGCCAGAATCAAGCCTGCATTTAATTATAGAAACCAAAATACATATGCTATTTTTGCAAGAACAGTTCTTACCTTCCAGTTTCTGCCTGAAAGCTAACACAACTAAGTGCTTTTATGTGAAAAATCGAGCTAGAATCTCTGCTGCCCCCCAGTGGAGCAAAAGGCAAAAGCTAGAGAAATTCCACTCTGCTGGACAAGCCCGTGTTGCATTGAAATGGAGGTGCTTCTCTCTTCCTGCAGTGCCTTTATACATGAAACGCATCGAAAGCTATCTGACAGTTAGATCATGGAATTAAAAAAGCATCCTACGGCATCAACTAAGTTCTGTATAGGCTGCTGATTCTCAGCTAAATGACCTAGCTAGGCCTGTGTTCTCATACACTGGCCTACAAGTCTCTGGTGTACACTAAGTTATAATTATCCAGCGAATGAAGATTTATATAAGAAAAGGACTGGGTCACAGTTACAGAGGAACTAGGCTGCTCTATTTGAAATGAATCATAAATGCAGCAAATAAGGATACTCCCTGAAGTACTTACTCCACAAAAGTACATTTCCCTACCTACATTATAAACACACTTTATGCAAAAGCATAAATCCGGCATCATATGAAACCATGGTTTATCTTTATCTGGCAAAATTACTAACTAGCAAGAATCTCAGTAAACCATCTGGACATTAGAAAAAGGAAGGGCTGCTTGTAAACAACACTCACAGCTAAGCACCACCACAATGCATTGGTGAGTCTCCTGTAAGGCTGTCTACTCAACCTGGGGGACTAAGACCCACTGATTTCAGTGAAACTTGCTTCTGAGTCAAAATCTGTGTTTGAAAAGCCAACTGGCATTCCTTATTTTGGGGGAAGGGGGAGTGCTCTGGTTGCTGGAATAGCAGCAATGGCCTTCCCTAGTCCAAAGTAACCCTTTTACTTCTGAATCATCCATGCAACCCCTTAGGAAGCACAACGGCCCACAAAAACTGTTGCTACACAGAATGACAAACTGAAGGTAAGACAGAGATGGGTGAATCTTCTCTGCTGACTATGAAAAGATTCTGCCTCAAAACACTGAGAAACAAAGGACATTCTGAGGGAATCCTCTTCTTTTTTGCCACACACACTTTCTTCTGCTCCAAGAATTGCTTTTTGGGTCCTCCAGGCAGAAAGTCTCAAATCTCACTGAGCAACTCCACCTCACTTGAATCTTGCCCCTTGTCTCTCCACCACAAGGCATTCTAAGTAACTACTGCATAGTTAAGTAAAATGGGTACTTCTGGTTTGGGCCTACTTTTGCAAAGAATGAAGTAGGCCATCTAACACTGAAATAGTTGATTTCAAACTGGCATCTTTCCCTCATCCTTCCTATTGATCATAATGCTGACTCATGGTATTCCAAGCTGACGTCATTCTCCCAAGATTACATTTGACAGATTCAACAGGGGACAGGACTCCTGCATTTTCAACAGTAGAACAGAATTGGAAATTCAGCAAGTGCCAAGAAATTCTATCTGCTCAAATCTCTTTCTGCTAAATTACTGAAGACACAGGAGCATATTTTGTATGGAATCTGTCAAAAATACCTGCAGAAGTTGCAGATTTGAGATTCATATTTAAGTTAGCTTTCAGCTAGCGGTATATAACTAGAGTATAAAAAATATATACTTTTTGTGAAATGGTGAAGGTGGCTTTATACATGTTCTCACCCTGTCATGTGCTCTCTCTCTCACTGCACTTCCCTCATTTTGTCAACAGCTACCTAGAAGATTCTGAAACTGTATAAACCTCAGAGAATAACTCTAGCAGATCCCCAGTGGCAAATATAAAATGGATGAGGTGCTTTAAGCACTGAGGGAAGGTGCTATTTAGATATTTATGACTATTAAGTGAAAACAATGACACCTCAGCAGCAAAGTTTAAGCGACTGACTCCACTCCAATGGTGGTACAAATCTTCACATTTTCGTATCAGATCTTTCTGCCTGCAGTACTATCACCTCAGTTTCACAAAGCCATCTCAACCTCATGGATCTGGGCAGTTCATGACATTACAAAGAGTAAACTCACATTTTTCTAGAAGAGCAATATAACTGGTCATAAAATAACTAGGTTTAGATTCGAGAAATTGTGGCCTTTTATAATAGTTATGAATGAAATTCATGCTACAAAATTATGTTTTATATTTTCTCCATAAAATTATCAAGGTGTCATAAATTATTTCTTCTCTCAGGGCTAAAAACATATTGGCCAGATGACCAAACCTGTTCTGGTCAGCACAGCTTGGACAGTGACTGAAAAAGAAATTAGGAAGTTCTGGAATAGTAATACTAATTTGCCACTGGTTCCATGATATGAAATCAGCCAAACCATGCAGGGCACTATGGAAAACACACATGGATAATAGTATATAATAGGATGCTTTTGAAATAGTAGGTTGAATTAAAAAATCCCAAGCTTTACTTTTTCTTGTTTTGTAAATAATGTTTTCCAGTGCATGTGTAAAAATTCACTATTTGGTAGTGGAGAAAAGCACAGGGCAAGGGGAACAAGCCAACATGATTCCATATAGACGAATGTGTAGCCTTCATTAACTGGCCATCCCAACACTCATCAGAATAGAGAATATTTTACTATGGACCAAAGTGTACATCCTCATTTTACACAAAGAACAGGAGTGGCAAGAATTGGAAAGTACTAGGTTGGGAGTTAGGAAGGAATCTAAACAGGAAGGTATTCCAAGTGGGATTCACTTATCTTGTGTGAGGAACAAACATGAACTTTTCAAAGTACATGTGGCTAACCAAAGGACAAAACAGGAAGAAAAAGGTCGCTAATGAAGTGCTTACACTGTACGTATCTACTGCTTACCAAAGAGTGTGTGATAACTTTGGGGGAACTGTGATTTGTTACACTTTGGAATGTTTTTTGTAAACAACATTGCTTTCAATCTGAGCAAACCTGCACCAAGTGCAGCAGTGTGTCCACTGTCCATGTAATGCAATGGAGAGGGAGTTTAATAGCCAAAGTGTCTATATGGAATCCTCACTGGAGCTGCGTATGAGGGTTCACCCTGCAAACTTTAAAATAAAAAATTGACCTTTTAAGATAATTTTATATTAGGCATACAATAAAGGTGTGTGCTTTTGTGAGTACTTCCTTAAGTGATTGTCACGCATGGAAGGAAGGTGCACCCATCAGCTCAACAGAAAGGCACACAATTCTGCTTGCTTTCTTAAATGAAATGTTTACTGACTTCTGGCCTTTGTGTCAGGGAAAGAAAGAAACAAGGTACAAATTGAATCATTCAATAAAAGAGATTACTTACCAACCCAGCCCCTGCATCACATGAAAGAGAGAATTCCTCAGGGACTGAGGTCGCCCACACACACCACACTAAAGGTATATCAGCAGCAACTCTGCGCTGCCCACCTGCCCCCAGGGAAGTGGGGCAAAGGGAGGGGACAGGGCGACTCTCGCCCTCTCTGATGCACGCAGCAGGCCCCCGCCCCACTGCTCCCTTCCGTGCCCTCCCTCGTGGCAGGCTTAGGCTAGCCTCCTCAGCAGTTCGGGGGGGGGGGGAGAACATTCCGCCTCCCCGGAGGAAGGGAAAAAGGAGGGCTGGAGGGGACCACTCACCTTGCTCGTCCTGCGCAGGCACAAGAGACAAAAGGCTGGCGGAGCAATGGGGGGAGATATGCAGACCCTCTCAAAGGCCCCCTCCTCCCCTCCCCTCCCCCCGCGCGTGCGGCCCCCCCTCCCTCTCCCCCGGCCGGCCCTGGCGCTGGGCTCGTTTCAGGCGCAGCCGTCTCGGGGAGGGGGAGGGGAGGCGGGAGGGGACCCGCTCTTCCCCCCAGCCTGCCTGCCTGCTGCCCTCCTGCCCCCCGCCCTAAAACTGAGGGGGGGGGGGAGAGCGAGAGAGCGAGAGCGAAAGAGAGCGAGAAAGAGAGAGAGCGAGAGGCGGGTACTGGACCTTTCGTCCGGGCCGGGCCCGTGGTGGTGGTGTTGGAGCGGCCGGGCGCTGGCGCCGCCGAGGCCCAGGCTGCCGTGGTGGTGGTGGTGGTGATGGTGGCTCTGGCCGTGGAGGAGGGAGGCGGCGGCGGCCGGAGAAGGGGACGGGGGGCTCGAGTGCGGGCTGCTGGGCGGGGGCACGCTCGGGCTCTCCACGGCCATGGGGGTGCGGGCCGGCCGGCGGGCCGGGCGAAGGGGCGCGGGGCTGTCTGGGGCCGGGCCGGGCCGGGGGAGAGCGAGCGAGCGAGCGAGGAGGAGGCGGCGGCGGCGGCGGCGGCGGCGGCGAGGGAGGCGGACGGGACGGGGCACAGTCACTGTACAGGGCGGGCCTGAGGCGCCGCGCTCCGCTCGCCGGCTGGCTAGCTGGCTCCGAGGCTGCACCACACAAAATGGCGCCCGCCCGCCCGCCTGCCTGATGGCGACACACGGCCCGCGCGCTCGCGCCGTTCTCGCGCGCCGCCAGCCAGCCAGCGCGTGGCCACGCCCGACCCAGGCAGCCCGCGGGGCGGCGGAAGCGCCCGAGCGGCCACGGAAACGGCCGAGTCTGCGGGCGGGGGACGTGGCGTCACGGCGCTGCGCCGCGCGAACTGCGTGCGTGTGTGCGTGCTGCGTCACGCGGGGCGGGCAGGCGGGCGAGCGAGCGCTCCCGCCGGGCAGCCAGCATGGTGGAGAAGGACGAGGCCGAGCCTGGCGGCGTCATCAGCGAGGAGGAGGCGGCGCAGTATGACCGCCAGATCCGGCTCTGGGGCCTGGAGGCGCAGAAACGGTAACGGGCCGGCGAGCGCCCTGCGTTCGCGGTCGGCGGCGCGGCCTCTCCCGCAGGGCTGTGATGAGGCGCCGCCTCTTCCGCCCTCCCCCCCCCCCCGAGGAAGAGGCGGCGGGCGGGGAGCCGGGCCAGGCGTGCTGCGGCTGCGCCCAAGGAGTACCTTTGCGGGGCTGCTGCGCGCACCTTTTCCTCGCAGGGGGCCGGGGAAGGCGGTCTCGGGGCGCCCTCGTCCCCGCTGGGGAGAAGAGAAAGCCCGCCCAACGCAGGAACGGCGCGGCGGCGAGGAGCGGTCGCGGGCGGGCGGGCGCTCGAGGCCCTCTGTGGGTTCCCGCGGGCGGGCGAGCGAGCGGCTTCTGGCTCGGGGCCCTCGGTACCCCCGACTCGCCGGGCTCCGCATGCTTTCGTTCGTGCATGTGCAGAGTGTCCAGCCAGCTCTCCAAGCCCCCTGGAGCAGCTTCACCCCCCCCACCGTTCTGAGCCCCCCATCCAAAGTGAACGGCTAACAGCCTCCTCTCACGACCTCCTGCTGCTAATTCCGTCCCGGATGCTCTGTGGGTGCCCACCAGAGCCGCGCCATGACAGCAGTCTGTGTAGTCTGTGTTTAGCTGGCGTTTCTTTTATTCTTTGGTAAACTGCCTCAATATTTGTTTCAAATGAACAGTATAGAAAGGGGCTTTAAAAGGTGGTTGGATAGAGGCATGGAGTGGGAGAAGGCTATCAGAGGTTGCTAGTGCTGATGGCTCTAGGCTGTCACCAGCATCAAAAGCAGTTGCTGGGGAACATGGGTGGACTGACTGCAGCAGTCATGTCCTGCTTGTGGAATCCTGCAGACACCCAATTGGCCACTGTGTGATCACAGCACTGGACTAGTTGGACCCTGTCTGTGACCCAGTTTTAGGGCTCATCTGATATTTTTACACTGCAAATACAAAATACTCAGAACAAGTGACACATATGTTCAGATTTCACAATGAAACTATAAATTTGGCTTAGAATCTGCATTTCAGTCTCAAGTATGTGCTGAAAGGGTAAGAAATGCCACTATTTTACTACCTGGAGAATAAATTGTAAAAGAATATTATGTATTGAAAAGATTTCCTACCTACCTTTGAACTGAAGCTTCCTCGGCAGGAAATGGTGGCAAAATTTTAAAATATTAAGACATTTTAAAATTCCTGCCAGCAGTAAAATCTTGCTGAAGACAGAAATAAATACTAGAAGGACAGCAAGGAGTTGCAGAAATAAAAATAGCTCTTAAAAGCTGGAAGATGAAAACTGACTTTCTGGCAGCAGGTCAAGGCAACTTCTTCTATTCTGCTACTGCCTTCATCTCTGAAAGTGGAGGCACAGAGATCAGGGTCCCTGACTTGGATCTTAGCAAATGTGCTTCCTGTAGGAGGAACAGAGGTTGTGGGACCCACTGGCACATCAGTGCTAATCCCGTAGAAAGTCTTCCTCATTTGTTTCTCAGTGGTGGCCCTACCCCTTTGGACTGCCCTTCCCAGGAAAATGAACATGGCCTCATAACAGCTGGCTTCTTAAAAACAAGAACCTTCAGTCTGCATGTGGTGCTTGAAAATCAACAGGTGCTGGACATGGTGTGGGTCACAGGCAGGGATGACCCTTTGACAATGAACCAAAAGCCTTGACACTCTGAAGCAACTATTGAAAGATTTCTTTTAATCCTGGTCTTTTTATGGCTTGAAAGAAAAATGAGTAGCAAAGTGTCTTGCCAGCTTCTCTGCTTGATATCAATTGGTCTAATCTGATCTCGTGTCCTGGCCCCAAATGAATCCTGGCCCTTGTGTTCCTCTCCCAACTGTGTGTGTTGGCAGCTGTGCCTTTCTCCAGAGGCACCACCTGGCAGAGGCGCCGATTCTGCTGCAGAGCATCGATGGCTGCCTCTTCTTTTTTGCAGCCTCCGGGCATCTCGAGTGCTGCTGGTGGGCATGAAAGGCCTGGGAGCAGAAGTGGCCAAGAACCTCATCCTGGCAGGGGTCAAAGCCGTGACCATGCTTGACCATCAGCAGGTGGGAGTTTTGTCTTGTGCGACAAGCCCCAGTGGGCTTCCTGCTGCTGAGGAACCCTTCCTTGTGTTTTCCACCACACCGTTTCCCTGAGCACCCCCTAATTCTGGCAGGGAAGACTTGGTCACGTGCAGGTAACAAGAAGCCAGTGTGACTCCACACCTGCCTACTGACCTAGGCAATCTTTTATTATTGCAGTTATTATTACTTTTCAGGCAGGATTGTCTTGCATCTGTGTAGAATCCAGCGTGGGGCTGGTGTCAGGCTTGGCTCAAGGAACACAAGAGAAGGAGAGGAGAGGGAAAAATCAGAGGGTGGCGATTCACCGGACAATGTGCCAAGTGGTAAACTGGCCTTTATATCCAAGTGAGGCTAGGCTGATCTTCCCTTGCGGCTGCTCTTGCTCAGACAGCAGTGGTAAAAGCAGAGGGAAGATTTGATTTGTTGACTACAAAGGAATAGGTGGCTCTTTGGCCTTGAGGTGGATTTTTGTCTTTTCTTGTTCTTGTAGTAAAGCTGTTTAGTGAGCTGATGGGCACGAGTTTGAAGAAAGAGAACTTCCAGAGAATCTGGGTGGGAGAGCAAAAACGTGCAACCACAAATGTTTCCTCAGAGAAAGAAGTTCCTGCTCTTGTATTGCTTAAGTGCTGATAAATTTATTGCAGTTGATGAGACACCTTGTACCTGTCCAAAGTTGCCATCTTTTTTTTCTAGGTTGCATGACAGAATTCTCACTAGCCCTCCTGGTGCTGCGGTTTGCCTGTCTGGGGGCCTGGGATTTTTCCCGGCTCTGAATTCATCCCTGTCCTCAAGAGCCATCCATCTGGATGACAAGGTATGAGGTGGCTCCTGCTTCTCTGCTTCTCCTGCTCCAGGTGACAGCAGAAGATATACAGGCCCAGTTCCTAATCCCTGTGGGCTCGTTGGGAAAGAACCGGGCAGAAGCTTCTCTGGCACGTGCTCAGGACCTCAATCCCATGGTCGATGTGAAAGCAGACCCCGAGGATGTGGCGCAGAAGCCGGAGGAGTTCTTCACTCGTTTTGACGTGGTGAGCCCTGGCGGGAATGGGAGGGGAGGCTCTGCCTTGCTAAGTTCTGAGAATGCAGAAAGGAAAAGCTGCCACACTCCCAAGGGAGCTTGGACTCCCAGCTGCCCTCTGCAGTGCCTGAGGGCTGGCCTCTGCTTCTTGTGCCCATTCCACAAGCTGGCGGGGACGATCATGAAAGTCCAACTTGTGTCGGTCTCGTTGGCACAGAGGCTTACCTGCTTGGGGCCTTCACAGGGAGCTGATGTCTGGCCTGGGTGGCTTTGCCTTTCAGGTGTGCCTGACATGCTGCTCCCAGGAGGTCCTTGTGAAGGTCGACCAAATTTGCCACAAGAACCACATCAAATTCTTCATGGGCGATGTATTTGGTTATCGGGGCTGCATGTTTGCCGATCTGGGCAAGCATGAATTTGTGGAGTGAGTCTGGCTGGGGCTGGGGCAGATGGAAATGGGAACTCGCCGGAACCCACTGAGGTGCCTGGTGGCTTCCAGCCCTGGGGCTGATGGGCCGTGAGAGGACCCGAGAGCGCTCTGCTGTCTGGAGCATGGCCACTGGAGGGAGCTGGAGCACCAGCTTGCCCTCCCTCCTCCCAGCTCTGCCTATCTGCTGCAGCCAGTTGCTGCAAAAATCCCCCCCCCGCCCCGCCCCGGGCTGTGTTGAGCGAGGCGCACCAGCGAACTCCAGTGTTGATTTCTCCTTGGCATACAGAGAGAAGACGAAGACCGTGAGGGCCAGTCCGGGAGCAGAGGATGGGCCTGATGCGAAGAAAGCCAAGCTGGATTTGGTGGAGACCACCCTGGCGAAGAAGGTGGGCAGGAGACCCCGAGGCGCTTTGCCCCAGGGGCGTGAGGGGCTCTGCCTGCAGGGGAGAAGCTGCTTGCCCACAGCAAGGCTGCCCCTGGGCTGCTGCGGCTGGGCTCCCCCCGCCCCTTCTCCCTGCTCCGCAGTCGCGCTGCCCAGCCGCCATGCCAGGCACCCCTTGAGCAGCGCCGTAGGCCATGGATGCCGGCTCACGCTGACCCTCGAGGGCAGAACATGGCAGCAGAGCAGCGGTTGCACGAAGAGGACGGAGCTGTGTTGCGTGTACAAGTTCCCTCCAGACCTGGAGGGACAATTCAGGATTTGTTAATTTACTGCTTGCTTTTAGAAAAAGAAATAGGCTTGGTAACGTACAGGTGGTGCTCGAACGTGGCCACTGCCCCTCACAGGGGCCCTGCCCCCAGTACTTGAGTCCCAAGACTCTCAAGTCTTGCCTACCAGAGCTTTGTCTCTTCAGCTGACAGAGCTAGAAATCAGCTGTGTGGCTCTCTCATTTTTTAAAACAATGGAAGCTGCGCACACACGATTCGCGGCCACATCAAGCTAGCCCTGGGGAGGACCTCCTTGAGGGAATCGTGCAGAAAGAGAAAGTCAAAGCAGGGAGAAGGCAAGAGAACAACACATTGGCACCCTCCCTGTGGTCCCCCAGGAAGAGGACTGTTTGCAGCTCTTCTTTTGCTGCCATTCTTTGCCTGAAGGGCAGGAGGCGGTTGGCCCAGTCCGAACCTGCCTTCATTCTCGGTCCTTTCTTTCTACCTAGTGCGTGGCGTTCTGCCTCCTGGAAGAGGCCCTGATGGTCTCCTGGAGCAGCGAGAAGGCGAAGGCCGCTCTGAAGCGCACCACCGCAGATTACTTCCTGCTCCAAGGTGAGGCACCGGTGGGAGGCTCAAGAGAGCGACTGCTGGGACCAGAGGGCCAGAGGGGGATATTGCAGCGACACGCTTCTCGGGGGGACACGGCTCCTGGACATAGCAGACACCGGAGCTGCGTCCTGCTGGCCAGCAGGCGTGATCTTGTTTTCCCAGGAAGTGGCAGGCGAGTTCTGTTAGGGGCACAGCTGAGGCAGGCACGGGGCTTGTGGGACTGTTCCTGGAGCAGGCTGGGCATTTGTAGCTAAGACAACCCTGCCAGAGAGGAACGTTCCAACAAGAAGGTCACAGCTGGCAGCTCCAGCAGGTTGCCTGAAAGGAGGGTTTGGGCTGCCTTGGAGGTCACCTCAGTCTGGGCTCTGCTCCCTCTTACGAAACTCATGCTGTGACTGCCGCCTGTTTTTTAGTGCTCCTGAAATTCCGCACAGAAAAGGGTCGAGATCCTTTGCTGCAGAGCTACACGGAGGATGCAGAGGTGCTCCTGCAGCTCCGGAACGATGTACTGGCTTCTCTGAGTGTTGGGACTGAGCTACTCCCCGATGACTTTGTCAGGTGGGTGCCTTCCTTGGTTCTCTCCCCAGAGGTCCATCGCTGGCTCAGGCCACGACAGCTCCGGCCTTCCTGGGCCCAGACCCAGCAGCGCAGACCATGCTGTTCCTCGACGCCTGCCTGGGCTGGCTGAAAGTCTTGTAGTGCACCTGGTCAGCCGACCACAAGGCTGTCAGTGTCGGGTCTTCCGTAGCCGGGGCTCACGGGGATGCCACTATTTTGGGGCGGCAGCTGGCTCAGGATGCTGCTGTGGGAGTCACCCAAGACAGCTGGCCACATCCTCCTGCCACAGCTTGGGCTGCAGGCCTGAGCGGCAGGGAGAGGCCTCTCTTTGGCCAGTGCTCCGTCTGCCCATCTGCTGCATCCTCTTGGTCACACTGCTTCCCACGTGCCGCTTGTTGCACTTTGTGTCCCTGCGGGGGCAGCTTGTCTACTGGCGAGTGCTCAGCACCCTTCCCCGCCCTCTGCCCCAGTTCACAGATGAACGCTTGGGGTGCAGCTCTCACTGGATGGCTCGGCAGTCGTGCTGGGCTGTGCCCAGCCAAATCTTCTGCGGAAGCTTCCTGGCGGAGGGGGCACTGCAGCTCATTGCCCTTGGAAGGCCTTGCTTCGGGGGGGGGGGCTGTGTGGTTTGGCAGCAGCTGGCCACCCTGTGCCCACCTGGGGCATGGCTGGACATGACAGCCCCCTCTGTTGGCCTGTCACTGCATGCCACTCACCAGGGATCGGAACAGAAGGGGGGCAGGAATGTGGGCCTGCCGTGGGGCTGAGCGGCTGGGGGCTATGTTTAGCAGAGATGTCTGGAGCACGTCGGGGGACCCTGCCCAGGCCGTGCTGGACTGTGTGGAATGCCTGATGGACTGGTGCTCGGGAGAGCGCCAGATGAGCTCGCGTGGCCGGGGCTCCAGGGACCAAGGATGCGCTTGGCCCTGCCCTCACCTCTGGTCCGAAATGGCTGCTTGGCGCAGGGCAGAGCTGCATGTCTCTGCTGGCTCCATGAAGGGGCAGTTTGTAGGGCTGCCAACAAGCGGAGTGTGCCCAATTTCTGACGGTTCCTTGTTGTGTCACTCAGCCACTGCTTCTCAGAACTGGCTCCCGTCTGTGCTGTAGTTGGAGGGGTGCTCAGCCAGGAGGTTGTCAAGGTAAGGCGTGTCCTCCTCGTCCTAAGCATGTCTCCGCCCACGTGAATGCAGTCGGGGACGATGGGGGCTCTGCTTTGTGGTGGTGAATTCCTAGCAAGGATGGTGGTGGCCCGTGGTCCCACCCATGAGCAGCACAGCTGCAAGCTGTATCCTGTGTCCCCTCCCCTCCAAACATGCACACAAGCTGAGCATTCCTGGGGAGGGGTGTGGGGGCTCTTGGCCACTAGAAAAGTAAAACAATGCCCGGCCCGGCCCGGCCCGGCCGGAGGTGCAGGGGCCAAGAGTCTCCTCCCGTCTCGTGGGCTCTGACCGGGGAAGTTGCCCCTTTGTGCTCATTTCCTCAGTTCCCCCAAATAGGAGGGGGACTGATTCCATGAAGAAGCCACAGCCTTGCGTTGACAAAAGCTGCTCAGGAGGGCCTCCCGGAGGAGCCCTCTTTAACGTGGAGAGGACTCCACGGCACGTCACCACCACCTGCTTTCCTGCAAGGGGACTGCATCACCACTCACATCCCCTCCTCCTGTTTGCAGGCCCTGTCTCAGCGGGATTCCCCCCTCAACAATTTCTTCTTCTTCGATGGTATGAAGGGCAACGGGATTGTGGAGTGCTTGGCTCCCAGCTGAGCTCAGGCAAGGAGCCTCCAGGCGGCTCACGGCCACGTGGCCTTTGCCAGGCTCCCTTTGCAGCATCCTGTGGCCTTGACAAACTGAAATTTGGGTCCAGATTATCTTGCGGAGGTTGAGCTTCACTCCGCTGCCTCTTGTTTCCTTCGTGCTCAATAAAGTCCTCTTTTAGTAATCTTCCTCTCCTGCCGCTAGACCTGACTGAGCAGATTTGGCCACAAGGACCCCTATCAGGAGGGGGTGGGGACATTGCACCGGAGCTCCTTGGCCATGGGGCGTCTGCTGGGAGCTCTTAGCGGCTGATGGGGCCGCTCTAAGGCTCGTCAATCTGGACCCCCAGACCTGCCGGGCGCCTCTGCATCCAGCATGTTTCCGTTGTCGCAACGCCCCCTCACCTGCTGACAGACACAGTACTGTGCCCACCCAGACCTTCACTTAAATCTCAGGAGCATCCAAGGTTGCAGGGTCTCCCAGGAATGCCCTCCTGTCCAGCAAGGTTCCCGTGGGGCGCAAAGCAGCTGTGCATTCCTGCAGTGGGGGTCTGGGGGGGTGCAGCCTCTGCCCTGCAAGGTGGTCACGGCATGTGGCTCAGGCCCCCCTGCACAGTGTGAGTCGCGCGGCTGGTTTGGGTGCAGCCCCACTCGATGCAGCAAGGGATGCTGCGCCTGCTCCTCCAATTTCCCCACACCCCACATTGGCCGGCACTGGCTCGGACAGCTCTGCAGGAAGGCCCAGGCTTGGTCAACAGGCCAGCTTGTCCGGCCCTCTGCCTGATTGGGTGTAAGGAAGAGTAGCTACTGCCGAAGTCCAGTTTTTATTGAAAAGAAAACATACAAAACCTTCCCCCCCCACCCAAGGTCCAGACGAGCAACTCCCTCCAGTATGTACAGGCAGCACCGGGTGGTCCTATGTACAGGCAGTTTCCAGTATATGTACATACAGCAGCTGCTGCACCACTGCTGTGCAGCCCCCCCGCCCGCCTCTCCCTCCCCACGTCCCAGGCCCAGGCCATCCCCACTTGCAGCGGCTGCCGCGGGGCCTCCCATCAGGCAACGGGCCCCGTGTGCAGTTCTCCCCCCTCCCCACCTCTACAGGCTCAATGAACAGTATTCACATAGTGCTAACATGCCCCTCGCCCTCCGCCCAGTGAGCAGCTCTCCGTAAGGCACTGCGGGGCAGGGCAGGGCAGGGCAGCGCAGAGCCCGCCCGAGCAGGCAGCCCAAGAACCCAGCCGGGCAGCAGCAGGCCTGAGGTAGGGGCGGCCTTGGCGTCAGTTGCTCGGGGGCGCGTGTCAAGTCCAACCGTGTGGCTCTTCCTCCTGGCCCGCAGGAGGACGCAAGCTCCTCGGCAGGTGGCCGTCGGGCCAGAGCCGGTCACCCTCTTGCTGGCAGGTTGTAAAGGATGCCCAGCAGATGGAAGACCAAGTGGTAGAGGTGGCCCCGGAGCACGCCGTGCAGCCGGTGTTCCTGCGGAGAGGGGAAGAGGAGGGTGGCTGCAAGGGAGCTGCCGCGGAGACCCCTGCCTGCGTATCGGTGCTGCTCCTGACACTCCCTGCTCCACAGCCTGACTCAGCAAGGCCTCCGTGGAGCCGGCCGGCGCTGCCGCCCAGCTCAGCCTGCTTCCTGCTTCCGCTCCGGTGGCCATGCCCTGCCTTATATCCCAGGGCTATTTATAGGCCATGAGTCAGCGTCCGGGCTCTGCCCAGCTCCCTGAGCAAACAAGTGAAGGCGGAGGTGGCCCAGCCGGGGTCTCGGTGGGCCCGGGGAAGGCTACAGCCTGGGCTGCTGCTCGAGGCCTTCCATGGGAGGAAGGCTGTTCCACACCGTGGTAATGGCAGGCTCTAGCGGGCCTTTCCTAAAGGTGGGTGGGGAGCAATTCACCACCCACGCCTTTTCTTCACAGAGGCGGCGGCGCCCGTTGGTCCCAGTGTCTGGCTGCCGCCTCCGGGCCAGAAGCCGCCCACCTCTTCATGCCAGTGGCTGAGCAGCATGAGTGGCCCTGGCGGTTGCCCTTGCATCCGGCTTGTGGGCCACCTCCTGGGTATGGGCCTGGCTGCTGTGGGCACAAGATACTGCCTGGGGCCCCATGGGTCTGATTGTACACCCACTGCTTCAATCCCCTCCTTCTCTTTGCCCTGGAAGGCTCACCCTTCGCTCATGTTCTTGGTGGAACTGGTCTCCCATCCGACGCAGGTGGGCCCCGATGGCCTGCTCCAAGCTGGGTGGGTTCCTAGGAAGAATGTGCCCATTGGACTGTACTGCCCCCTGCTCAGGCTCTGTTGAGGCCCCCTCCCTGCTGCTGCTGTGGGTCGCAGGCTGCACGTTCCCTGCGAAGGAAGGAAGGGAAAGGGAAAGGCGTCAGGGCAGAGGCAAGCAGTCCCCCCACCAGAGAAGGCAGGTGAGGGAGGGAGCAGCGGGTGGTGGGCCGAGGAGCAGCAGCGCAAGTGCTGCTTCCTGTATCCTTGGCAACTGCCGCCTGTTGCAGATGAAAGGGATCATTTCAGGACACGGTCCTCTCGTCTGTCGGGCCCTGGTCTATCCGCACAGCCCCCCCAGGCTCCCTCCCAGCTGCAATTCACCCTGTCTCTTCCTGGGTTCACCCGTGCGTATTCAGCCCCGCATGTTGTGTGCCCTTTGCGGCAACGTCCCCCGGGCCCCTGAGGTGCCAGGAGAACTCTGGCCTGCCGCCCCCCTGTAGGGTGTTGCAGTACTCACAGGCAGCCTTCGGCTGATGACGGGCCACCTGGTACCCAATTTGGCTTCCCCCCTCCCTCTGCATGCTTGACTCAGCATTTACAGGCATGGCTCTCTGGGAGAGGGGCACAGGGAAGCGTTGTCCGGGGTACAACAAAGCATGAGGGGCGATCAGCGGATCCAGTGCCCGCAGCCTCCCATCTCGCTGGGCTGGCAGCCCGGACGGAGGCAGGTGATCAGCCCCACACGCCGCAAGGGGCGGTCGCAGGAGGGGTTCGGACCGGAGATGGGCGCAGGTTCCTGCGGGCCTCAAGGGAACTGGTGCCAGTGGCCCAGCTCCCACCCCAGCCGCCCTGGGCTTCAGGAGCTGCAGCAATCCGTGGAGGGGAGAAAACAAAGGTTTGTCCACGGCTGCCGGGCTCCACTTGGGCTCTTCCTTTGGCAGGTGCGCCCAGGTGGGCTGCCCTCCGAGCCGCCCTGTCGCAGGGCGTGGCGCTCGCAACTCCCGAGCTGCTTAACCCTTTCCTCGCAGAAAAGCTGCAGGAAAGGGTTCGATCCACGGTGACAGTGGGGATAAAGAGGGGCTGCTGGGAGCTCCAAAAGGAGGCTACGCTGCCGTGCTCGAGCTTCCCTGGGGCGGAAATCACGCATTCCGCGGCCGACTTCTAGCGCCCGAAGTCAGAAGCACTCTGTGCATGGTCAGAGGCACCATTAATCCTCACGCCCTCAGGCGGGGGAGATCGCAGCGCACCGTCAGAATGCAGCCCACCTCCCCCCGCACACGCGGAGCGTTACTCACCGCGCGCGCCGCTAAGGCGGCTCCTGGGGGGCTCCTGCCCGGGCCCGCAGCGATAGATGCAGTTCAGCCCGGGCGGCCAGGCGAGCGGGGGCCGGCAGACGGAGGGCGGCAGGGCCACCGTCCCCCCCACAGGGCAGGCTGGGCTCCCGGACACAGCTGCTGTCGGCTCGGCGCGGCTCCCGTCCTGCAGTGCTCTGGCCATGGCGCTCGGAGGGGTCTGCCGGGCAAGGAGGCGGTCAAGCAAGGCGAGAGCACAGCTTGCCCGGCGGCTTCGCCACTCGCCCAGCCGGGGGGCGGACCAGACCCGCCGTGCGGGCGGGCGCCGTGTTTGTAAACAAACCCGGCCGTGCCAGCCTCGCCCGCCCGCTCGCCGCGCCTGGGAGCCGCCCCGTCCCGCCTACCCCGCCTCGAGCGCGGGGAACGCCCCGATCCAAGCCCCCGTTGCGGCCACGTGCGTCCGCCCCCCCGCCACCGCACTCGGTCCCCGAAGGGGTGCCGAGCCGCACTTACCGCAGCTGCATGAACCCTTCGGAGGTCGCTGGGCGGCGCGGAGACTCCGGCGGGACGGGGCGGGACGGGACGGGACGGGGCGGACGGGCTGCGAGCAAGCGAGCCGGGGCGGCGGCAACTCACTCGCTCGGAGCCAGGCGGGCAGTCGCGCGCGGACCAGCAGCTGCCGAGCCCGGGCAGGCCCCGCCCGCCGTGACGTCACCGGGCCCGCCCCCTCCGCAGGCAAGTTCGGGCTTGTGCAGGGCCGGGGATCCCCCCGCGGGTGGGGCGCCCGCCGCGGTTCTGCAGCCGGCCCGGGCCCCCGACCCCTCGGCGGGCGTGGCCGCCGCGGCGGGGGCGCGCGCATCCGGGGCCGGCTTGGCCCTGCCCAGGCGCGGCGCGCCCCGGAGGAAATCCAGTGGGGGACCGGCGTTCGGGGGGGAGACGCCGCATTCCACGACGCCCCCCCCCACGGCGGGAGCGTGCCGTGGGGGCTGTGATTGGAGCGTGGCGGGGGCGCCGCGCACACCCTGGCGCCTCGTCAGCTCAGCCCACCCCGCCGAGCAGGGCCAGCAAGGCGGCCCCCTGCCTGGAGCCCTGGAGAAAACCCGCTGCCAGTCGGGGGTGGGTGAGACACTGGTGGCCCTCCGGATGTTTATTTATTTATTAAATAACCTGGCTGCCTTCCAAAACAGGCTGGATAAATTCCTGGAGAAGGTTTCCCCAGTGACTGTTGGCCATGTGCTTTCTTAAGGAGGGAAGGGAGCATACCTCTGTTCGCAGCTGTTGGGGAATATGGGTGGGAGTGTGTTGTTGCTCTCCAGAACTCTTGTGGGAAGCTAAGAGTAACTGGTTGGCCACGGTGTGTCCAGAATACTGGGCTAGGAAGATGCTGGGTCTGATCCAGCCTTGGGCCTTTCTTACATTCTCAGTGAGGGCAGGTCATGATGGCCTTGCTCCTGAGCCAGCACCCCTTTGACATATAAACAAATGGCACAGAATTAGGCTCAAACGGGCCTCTCTTGCAAACAACCCCTGTGAAAGGCACTCTGGACCAATGCACTTTCAGCAGTGCCACATGAGGGGCATCGGGGCAATTGGGCCCGGAAGAGGGAAGGCTGAGGCTGTGTCCTGGCCACCTGTGCATGCAGCAGCACTCAGTGTGACCTGTTGCTTCTGGGCAGGAGGGCCTGC